AGACTCTTAACTCCAATTAAACCACTAGAACACTGGAAGTGGTGCTGTGGTTCAAGCAGTAGAGCACTGACCTTGAGTTGAAGAGCTGAGGGACAGCGACCAGGCCCAGAGTTCAAGCCCCATGACCGACCAAAAAATAATAATATTAAAAAATGTGATTGTACAGTCTATTTTTCTTGGTCCGGATAAGCTATTCCTTAAATTCATGTAACAGGTTTTTAGTCTTCACATATTTAACTAAGAAACAATGAACTCTTAAGTTCATTGTTAAGGAGCTGCTGACTGATAAGTTCATCATGCCTACTCATGACTTTGATTAATTTACACAGCATAATAGGTGGTCTGAAAGTAGAGTTTGGCAAAGAGTTAAAAGATGAATTGGAAGTGAAATGTAATTGAATTTTTGGAGTTTTGATGTCAATTTACACATTGTTTTGAGTTCCAACAATAAATGTGCATTTTTGTGCTCCTTTAATTCTACACAATTCACAAAATAGGCTTTTTTAATAGACACAAATGCATATTTCTTCTTTGCTGGAGACTACAAAAAAAACGATCAATAAGAAACATGGGGAAAGAAATTCCACAATATTTATTAAAGAACAAATTTATAAATTAAGCCTCTGGTCTTAATGTACCAGCAAGTTATCCATCTGCTTATGTCACTCTGGCATAGGCATAATGCTGTCTCATGTACCTTGGCATTGCCCCTTAATTTCCTCACTGGAGATTTAGGAATCTCATTCCCCTTGTTTCTAGGCCCCAATTTTGTTCCAGCATCACTGGGAAAGATTCTATGCTATTGTCAGTAAATGGAAGAAGAACAAAACTCAAGAGGAATAAAAGTTCAAGACGTGATTGACATTCTTTGGTTTGACTGGCATTCAGCAAAAAGTCAAATCTTAGGTTTATTTTAATTAATAACTATTTTATTCAAATTACATACAATTCACAAGGATACTCATTTAGTAAGGCTTTAATTATTTGATCTTAGGTATATGCTCCAAATTTAGAGTTCAAACTCTGTACATTAAAATTTATTTCATTTCAATACCTGTTCACTTCTAACCTCATAACCACACTCAACATGCCAGAATCTAGATGATGCTCAAATAATATCTCCCCTTTGCTATCCAGTGTTTCCCTGTTTAACTCAGAACAAAGCCCCTGAATAAGCTAGCAGCTTTATTTCCCTCTCTGATTCATGCTCTCTTATTCTCTCTGGTCCTCATGTCCCTCCCTCCTCACTGACTTCCCCTCTGCTGTTCTTTAAATATGTCAGATGCACTCCTTCCTTCCTCAATAGCCGTTTGTATCTGTCATTGCCATTATCTAGAAACTTTGCCCATATAGTAAAAATGGCCTACTATCTTACATTTTTCAAATGTCACTCTCTTGTTGACTTTCTTAGCAAAAATTTTCATTACAATGCTTTTAAAATTGCAACTTCTCAGCCAAGCACTGATGGTTCAAATTCATAACCTTAGCTACTTAGGAGGCCGAGACCTCCTGAGGATCACAATTTGAAGGCAGCCAAAGGTGGAAAAGTCCATAAGACTCCATTTCCAATTAAATTTTTGCTAGTTAATTGAAGCATGGCTCAAGTGGGTAAGTCCATCTATGAACAATCAGATGTGAGAGCAAGAGGCCATTGAACTCAAGGTCTAGTACAAGTTGCAACCTTATTTAATATTACTTTTTGCTCTTTCTTCACAGTACGATTTAAATGAAAGCATAACTCACAATATCCATTTTTAAAGGGTGAGCTAAACATTCTTCTTGTTACAAATGCATGAAAACAAGCTAGTGTATGTTAGTTTTATATCAATATTTTCAAAAACTAGTCAATCATATTATTTTTTATTCCAGTGGGGATGAGTAAAAGTGTGCACTGTTTGAAAATAGTTCAGTTATGTACATATTGTAGTACAGTATTTTGTGGTCTCAGAATTTAAAACAGGAATTTTTCAAATTACAAGCAGGTTCTTAATGTTTAAAGATGAAAAGTAGTGCTTTAGTCATGAAAGTTGGAACAGTAAGCTCCAGTATACTCTTATGAAGAAAAGTATATAGAGAGAGATGAAGGTAGCATCAGAATTTTTCACAATTTGAATACAAGACCTTTCATAACAAATGTTTTCCTATTTATTCTACATTAGAAACTAAATTTAGAATTCTGGTTTGAGATGATGTATTTTGTTAGTTGAAAGAACAGAGACCTATAGTATACGATGTTATACTAGCAGTAAGTTATTAAATATTTTGTTTCTTAAGTGTTTCCTTGTAAATGAAATAAATTTTGGTATAATTTATAAAGAATATACTTAGGCCAGGAGCTGGTGGCGGTGGCACATGCCTGTAATCCAAGCTACTCAGGAGGCTGAGATCTGAGATGCTGTTCAAAGCTAACCTGGGCAGGAAACTCCGTGAGACTTTTATCTCCAATAAACCACCAGAAAACTGGAAGTGGATCTGTGGCTCAAGTGGTAGAGTGCACACGTTGAGCTGAAGAGCTGAGGGACAGTGCCTAGGCCCAGAGTTCAAGCCCCCTGACTGACAAAATAATAACAATAATTATAGTAATAATAATAATAATATAACTACTCCTTGATATACAGACAATGAGACAATGCATGGATGTAAATCAACACAGCTTTGGAATGAGAATATGTAGATTAACCCACCCAGCATGTCACTATTGTGTATAGGTGATAACTCTTTGCATTTCAGTTTTGAATGTGTAAGGTGGAATAATTCTATGTACTATGCAGTGTGCAATCTAGAGATAACAAGGTAAGCAACCTGCTTTAGTTCCTTTGGGGAATAGTGGCTTGTTAAATAATTGCTTCATCTACCAGGAGTGTTCTGGTAAGTCTCTTTGTAACTTTAGATGTGTTCTGTCATTTCACTTATTGTTTAGTTTCTAAAGATAAAATTAGAACAACAATGTTATCCCTATGAATATGCCATTGATTGATAACACTAGAGGGCTGAATCCAAGAAAGAACAAGTTTAAACAGGAAGATGTCCAAGAATTAAAAACTTAATTTAGCAGAAGGGAGATGTCCACTCTCTGTAGCCTGACAAGTTAGTAACTTCTCATGTTTTGTGGAATCTGGAGATGATGATAACCATTCTGAGGTGTGCTCTAAGTATCATTCTTATAGGAGGTGCACTGGAGTGGTCAACCTAAACTTACTATGATCTACATTTGATCATGCAATGAACTGATATAGGTCTCATTATAAATAAGATGAAAGAATGTTAACCAATGTAAAGAGATCTTTCAATGAAACAGGATCCACTTGTAAAGATGTTCTGTTGAAAGAAGGGACTAGAAATGATGGGCAAGGAGATGAGATTGTATCAGCAAAATAAGAAAGAAGCTTATAATTGAACATCAATGGATGAAGTAAGTCAGGATGATCAGGTAAATATTTCAAAATAAAGTAGATTATTGTGTACTTCAGATGAGGAATAGACAAGCTGAGGAAAAGAAACCACTGATGAAAGAATTGTTTCTGGGTCTTCTGAAACTATTCAACTGGAGGAACTATGGAATATTTCTAAATCCTCTCTTTCAAAAGGAGTTATGATATACTTTAAAAAGCCATTTCACCTCAGGTATGTGAAGTGGAAAATATCCTAACACTGAGTGAATAGTTTAATTCAGTATAAATGTACTATAATATTTCAAATGTCTTCTTGCTTAGAATGTCGGTAGAGTTCAAAGCCCATGTAATCAACAACAACGATCCAGCTTCTATAACTGATTTCCTAACTTCTTCCTGTACACAGCCAGCAGCCTTGACCCAAATTTCCTTACCCAGTTAATGCCTCCAAATGATTCTGTATATGTGCGTCAAATACGACCTAATCCTCAAATCCCAAGCAGTCCAAGGCAAACCTCTCACATCACTAGGTGGTTTCAGAAATAAAATCTTCATTTCCAAAACTATTTATAGAATGAAAGAGCTAATGGCATATCTTTGTTCTCAGTGGACAGGAAGTCTTACTGTATGTTTCACATATACCTCAAAGGCTCTTTTTTTATTTTTATATTTTGATAGCATTTATTGGCTAGGTACTATTCTAGGCCTTAAATTCTTTTTCTTTTTCACTTCATTTTTTTCATCCCTTTGTATGTCCCTCCCTCCTTTCTTTCCTTCCTTTCTTCTTTCTCCCTCCCTCCCTCCCTCCTTCCCTCCCTCCCTCCCTCCCTCCCTCCCTCCCTCCCTCCCTCCCTCCTTTCTTCCTTCCTGCCTGCCTGCCTTCCTTCCTTCCTTCCTTTCTTTCTTTTCAGAGGCTCTTTTTTATAAAAGTTTGTTGTTTCTATTTTTGTTTCACTTCTATTATTCATATGTGTTCTAGTGACTCTATTTCAGAAACATTAACTTGGCCAATACAGTTTAAAACTATCATTCTGACAACATATGTATAAGTACTTCCTGAATGAAATTCTAATTTCTAGATCCAAAGTATTGATTTATATATTTATATAAAATAATTGACATATGCACATATAATTTAAAAATCAATATGCATTCAAATATATATATCACACTTAATGAATAAAATTGGCTTTTCAAATAAGATGTGTGAAACACAACAGTTTTCCCCTCCCTCCCTCTCCTTCTCCCTCTCCCTCCCTCTCTCCTTCTTCCTCTCCCTCTCCCTGCCTCTTTCCCCCCATCTCTCTCCCTCCCCCCCCCCCCTCATTTGTTGTGAAGCATTTGAGCTCAAGACTAGCATTCTACCGCTTTGAAACATAGCTCCCACCTGGTTTTAGGTTGGTTAATTGGAGGTAAGAGTTCTATGGACTTTCCTGCCTAGGCTGACTTTGAACCATGACCTTCAGATGTCTGCCTCCTGAGTAACTAGGATTACAAGTGTGTGACATGAGCATCTGGCACCACAGTTTCATTTTCAACAACCCAAAACATCTATTTGCTGATCACGCATCACAGGTGATTCCCAAAGTGTTCACAGATATAAATTACCTCTTCTTTTCTTGTTTCACGTCCTTTCTGTACAAACCAGATGACTTTTGCTTGTAAAGATCGTGGGGTACATTCCAGCAAAGTACTGTTGTTTTCTATGCCATAAACCAATCGCTCTTCAGTCTTATCCAAAGCATCTCCTACATAAGGGATGTTAATAGGAGCCTTAAGACTTGATTTTTACTGTTTAAAAGCGTTTTCTAAAATATATTCTTTATTGAGATTTCTGTAACCATATAAACAATTAATTATTTTTTTGCTAATTTATATGCAAGGTCATTTAGAGAAATTATTTAGATGGCGCTTATTGAAATGGAGTCATTGGAAAGAAACAGGACCTAAGGAGTAGAATGGAAGAAAATAGCTGAACATTTGGCTTTAAAAGTGTGATGTAAGAGTAAGTAAGAGGGTGTATTAATGTTAAATTCACAGGAAAACAGGAAAACAATGACAATTTCACTGATAAAGCAAGGAAAAGACTGAATGCGTGTGGGAGCAAGGCAGAGGTGAAGTTCATGGTTACACACAGAAGCAGAAATGAGAATTCCACATGGTGTAATGACACATAAAAAGTGTGAGTAACATCTCAACAAGAAATTTCACTTGTCCAAGTGAGAAGAGAGCACAACACTTGGCCAAGGACTTTGTGAACTAGAGTTTCTCCAATATATTCTGTCTTAAACCAAAAAGGCTCTGACGAGGCTCAAATGCAAATTTACATCAGGCAAATGTACTTACTTATTGTAAAGGGGGGAAAAAAGCAAGATTTTTTTATTGTTTTTGTTTTAACCAAAAATGTCCCCAATACTTCAATATTCCTTTTTTTTTCTTCAAAAATGATCCCTAAATTTCCCTAAGATTAAGGCAACATGATATCTTGCCAGTGTTTCCAGAAGTTTGAGTCCTGCCGTGAATCATCGATAGCGTGCACTGACCACAGTTAAGCCCCCATGCAGGGAGCCTTCATCCTGCCCTGGGAGAGTCATCAGGACCAGATGACACAAAACACAAACTGTTCACCATTTATTGTAATATGAGGAGTCAAAAAGGCATTTTTTTTTTTGGTTATGATTGAAACCAACCTAACACTGAAACCAACCAACACCACTTCTAGGTGGAAAAGGAAAGCAGTTTTACTATTCCCAGTCTCATTAGGTGAACTGACACAAGCACTTTTTGAAGAGATGAATCCTGTGCACCAGTCACCTGCCATATGCCACATTTTCTCCCTAGTGTTCCCTAGCTTTGTGATCTAGTGTGAAATTAAATTTGCTCGTTCTGTAAAAACTTTCCCATAGTGTTTTAACTACATGAAAGAAAATAATTATATATTCCCGAGGCATTATTCTATAGAAATAAATCACAGAAAATAATTTAAGAAATGTGCCATCTTGACTTCAGAGTACTCTGTAAGAAACACATTAAATTTGATTTGTCAAAAAATGATTACCGACAAACTGCTGTCCAAAGCACTGCTGAGCTGCATTTCCATGCCGCACATCTTGTCTGCGGAAACGCCTGCAGGAATGAGAATGCATTTAGTAGATGTTCCACTTTTAATCCTCAAGATTTTACTCTTTGAATAGCAATATTCAAGCTTCAAGCAACATCCTGCTAGTAAAAGAACTGCTGAGTCCTATGAAACAAGTGTAAACTACCAATTTCATGTTGTCCACTGAGCATTCTCAGTAGTTAAGATCGGTATCTCTCTCTTCCTTAAGAGTTTGGCATTAAGCCAAACTCTGGATTCACAATAAATAATTAACAAATTTCTGTGTTTATCAGAAATTTAGTTCAAAAAGATGTGTGGGGATACGTACAATGAAATTTGAGGCAAAGAGTTGTAAAATCTTAAATGTACTAAAAACTTCAGGTAAAAAAATGGTTTTGGACTCCAAGTGTTTCGTTCTTGTGTGATGGTAAGTAACATAAATATAATTCCTAATTTTAAAAAAGATGAGCTAATAATTAGCTCTCAAACTTTTTTCAGATTTAATATTTGGATGGTTTATATAGCTACTCACTTTACTGGTATCTTATATACCTTTAATTGTATGTCTTACATCTTGTAAGACTCAAGAAAGACTATTTTTTCCATTAAATTTGATGATTAGATTTAGGATTACCTGTAGTACATTTTCATCTTTTACAGACTGAATCCATAGCTATAGGTATGAATGTATATACAGCTATATCCATCTACCAATGGATTTATGTATGCATATATAGCCATTGGTAAATATATATGGCATATGATATATATGGATATATGGATATGTCTATACATATTACACACATATCTATCGATTAATTTATCAATCAATTTAATAGTTTACTTTTGTGGAAAATATTTCTAGAAAATCTATCGATTCTTAAAAAATTACCATCCTTCTAAGCAATTAGCCAGTCAGTTTGTATTGGATTTCTAAAATCAAGATGCACAGTATTATTAATTCAAGTTAGAGATTATAAATATGTATATTTAAAGCTGGGTGCTGGTCACTCTAGCTTATAATGCTAGCTGTTCAGGGAGCTGAGATCGGAGGATCATGGTTCTAAATCAGCCCAAACAGGAAAGTCCCTGAGACTCTTAATCTCCATTAAAGTACCCAAAGAAAGCTAAAAGTGGAACTGTTAGCTTTGAGCAAAATATGCTCAGTGCCCAAGTCCTGATGAGTTCAAGCCCCAGGACTGGCATACACACACACACACACACACACACACACACACACACACACACACACACACAGAATTACTACATTAATGTGGAAAATAGCACTTGCTTCTCTAAGCCACGCAGTTGTTTAATATTTGGGGAAAAATAAATGCATAGTAAAAATTTGACCCTACATGGTGATGGTGAAATTGACAATAAATGCTCTAAACATAAACAACAGTAAAATCCAGAAAATGAATTAGATTCCCACTAACATTATGTAGGACTTCACACTTGTCTCTTGTTTACCTTGCTCTATGCACCCTCATTTGTGGAATGCAATTGGCTTAATAAACACCTAAAATCTACTGGAGTCTCAGTGATTTCCCTTTTGTTGTTGTTGATCTAGGATTTCTTTACTATCTCTAAATAATTGTAATGGAATATTACCTCAAACGATGAAATAGTATCTTACACCAGAGTTCAAGCCATTTAAAACAACTTAAAATATAATACCAAATGCTAAAACAGATGAACTTTTCTAATCAAATTGTAGAATAATGAACTATAAGCAAGAGCATACTTTAAATATAAAGATCTCAGGGTAGTAACCCTTACTTCAATACCTAGTGTTGAAATAGTAAAGGTAAGATTGTCATGTGAATCATTTAATTTCAGTACATTGAACAAAGAACTTAAGGAAAAGTAATAAGCAAAAATGGAAAAGTTTTATGTTTTTATATTGCTTTATACTACCAGGTACAGCTATTAGACAACCGATAGAAGATGTATCTGTTGTTAATTCCCTATTTGGTTGACTTCAGTATTGGGGAATTTACATAAAGTCTGCTGAACAATGATGATTATCTGAGCAGAGATAAAGTAAAATGAAAATACTTTCCGTGCCATAGAGATGGCATTTTATTAAGATTAGAATTGTGAGACAAAAGAAATCACAAACAGATAATTCCACATAAGTAATGTGAATGGCATGTAAAGAGTGAAAATTTTTTTAAATAATTGAAAACATACATTTACAAATAAAATATCACATCTTCCAACAACAAGTTTTTAGTTCATTTTGCACTATCTCAATTTTCAGCATTTAAAAGAAATGCATGTATTAGCAACTTGAGAAAGTTTGAACAAAGTTGCCTTTTATTCTAAAAGTTGCATATTTTTCTTGTATCTCTAGTCTCTTAGAAACTGTTAAAGAAAACATTGCAAATAGATGAGAAATAACAGAAAAGAGAAAGATCCAGCTTTATCAATTACAGTCTATTTTGGAAGGAAAGATCATTTTAAACCAGTGGTTCAGATTGTGAATTAATGATTTTGTTCCCTTACTCATTTTCACTTTGTGAGCAGAAAACTATTTTTTTTAAGGCCCAGTTTTCAATTTTGGCTTTTGTCAGGGTCTCAAGCAAGAAACAATCTTTGCTATAAAAGCAAACTATTTTCCTTCATATCCTGGAACTTGTGCAGAAAGTTCTCTTCTAGGGATGGGTAACAGTTCAAAGAAATGTGAGAACACTGAAAGATCTCCATTCTAAGCCACTGAACTGAATTATTAATTACTTCACTTTTGCGCATGGCTTCTGACTCCAGTATTTTCTTCCATTGTGTCTACTACTCTGTCTGTTCATTTATCTTTTCCTAAGTAACTTTTTTTTTTGTCAATTTCATCAAGTAAGGCACTGGTTGTTCAATCTTTTATGTATGTACTGGTTCTTGGATCTTTAACTTGCCTATATACTCTGGTGGCTCAGGCATGTCTCCAATACAACTTTTTGTTGTTTAATTGGAGATGGAATCTTGGTGACTTTTCTGTCTGGGTTGACTTTGAACCTTAATTCTCCGTGTCTCAACCTCCTGAGTAGCTAGGATTCCATATGTGAGTCACTGAAACCCAGCTTGTTGTTTACTTTAAAAAGTGAAATATGTAACTTCTCAGTTAAAGTTCATCATTCCTATTAATGGAAAAATTTTCTATTTAAAAGAATTGGTGCAAGGCTTGTAAACATTTTTATTGTTTCTAATAATGGCAAGATATAATTTGTTTTATTATAATTGTAAAATACTTTCTTAAAGTTTTATAAGGCACTAATAATAGACTGTGTATTTTAAGCAATATAAGCAAGAATTTTGAATATTTGAATATCTCCCTCATAAAAAAATGACCAATGCTTGAAAAGATGGAAATTGGTAATCTGATTCAATCATTACACAGTAGTCACACATATCAAAGAAGCACATCATATATCATAAATACATTTGCATATAAATTAAATGGAATTATAATACTTTTTCATCACTAAGACTGATTCTTTAAAAGATTGACTTTTCACTAACAGATCACACTACTCTACTCTTGAGTCATGGAATTGCTTGATTTCCCTTGAGAATTCCATCCTCATTTGAACACAATTAATTCTCTTTAACTGAAGCCTGTCTATGACTTAGCCTATTTCAAATGTTGTATTATTTTGGTAAGTAAATGAAATATTATTTATACTATGTCTGATTCAATACTTAAATATTCAATAGTGAGCTACTACTGCCATTATTCGCAGTTCTATTCTCCACTTGTAGTTTTGATTTCCTGTAGGAAATAGCCAGTGTTTCTGTGTATTCCTTGTTCATGGTATAAAAATTGTGTTAGGGGAGAAAACATCATTAACAACATTTTCAAATAATAATAACGCTTTATGCTCAGGAATGGTTTCAGACATAATCATTTGTATAAAATCAATTACTTTGCTGAATTCTTTAACACGGCAAATGATTTAGCTCCTAAAGTTCCTTGCAAAACTTTCCTGTTAGTTTTTTTCTTTTTTTAAGCCTCAATCATTAATTTAGCTCAAGTCAAATAAAGAAAATGCCAAATTAGTGAATTTAATGATAATGTGATTCTGTTCTTACAATAAGTTGAAAAGTAGATTCTAAAGGATTTAAATATAAAAAAAAACATAAATTTAAGTCACTAGTATACTTGAATTTAATACAAACTAATTGTCAATAGAGAAATTTGAGATAATTTTACATTTTGACCTGTTTTGCCTATGGTCACTTTATTATAAGAATCAAAGACCCTTATTTTGTAAGAAATAAAAATAAACTTCCATATTCATTTTCCCAAATTGTGCACAATTTCATATGGTTTGAATGGAAAAAATAATCTTATTCTTCAAAGTACTTTGTGAACCTAAAGTTTTCCTGTTGAAAGAATCTTGAGTTAACTTCTCTAATAAGTGGCAATGACTTCACAAGATCTTAGACATCAGAGTTGTAGATCTTTAAGTCCTTTTCATTTGTGTTGAATTAAATCACACATTTCATTAATTATACAGGTCATGCATTTGCCTAGGAGTTAAAATATTCACTTTCAAAATGAAATAAATGAAGACCAGCTGGTAGAGAAAACATGGAAAACTGTAGGATGTATAATATGATGTTTATATTTTCTTTTTAAGCCTTTGAATCCTTCAAGTTCAGTGCCTTTAAGAACAGTGCATTGCCATTCCCATATTTTACATTTATCTATGCTTGTTTCATATCTTGCAGCAAAAGTTTAACAGAATGGGCTATTTAAATGAAAAGTCAAGTTGAAAAATGAAAATTCAAAAGAATGTTTCGCTTTAGTCTATGTATTCTGTAGCAATTCAAGCTACATTCAGGAAAATTTCCATTTTTCAAAACTTATGAGTAAACTATAATAGCTATGATGATTTAATGAAATAAAATTAGTATGACAATATTTGCTACATGGGTACAAAAGAAAAAGTTAAAAAAAAAAATCATCAGAGTTGTCCTATCAATGGAAACATTCCATTGATATCCTAACTCACCTTTTTGCATGTGTGCCTGTTGGGTAGTACCGGGAACAGGATATGCCATCCCATGCACAGTAAGGGTCCCGAGCCAGACAGCAGTCAGCACAGGCACTTCCATACATATCACAGTGATGGAATCTGACTTGAGCCACATCAGAAGCAGATCCAACATACAGCTGTTGCTATAGGAGAAAGAGAGGGTCCACTAGTGGCAATGGACAGAGCTTTCACTGAGCTATTTCCCAGGGCTTCCACATTTATACACAATTACAAAGGTTGCTCAACAGAGATGGTGAACATCAGTACTGAAATACTTTTAAAGACTTAAGTGAGAGAAAAACAAAATTGCAGAGCTTGACAAAAACTCAAAAAGCTGTCCATTTTTTTGCTTTATCCAAGGAGAAGACTTATATTAGCTAACAGTACAAGTCATCATTTAGAGATTTAGCAACATTTATAAGAAATTGAATAGTAGCCATTTGAATGTTGATACAAACATTCAGAAAGGTGATACACACACACACACACACACACACACACACACACACACACACACACACACACACACACACAAACATGTATATCATGATGTAGTATTCACTGAGGGATGCACTAAGTGGAAATGCCAAGAACCAGGACACTGAATCTTGTATGTGTCCATTTGCTAAACAAGAATAATTATTTTCAAATAAATGTGAGACAATTTGTTAAACAACTGTTTTTAGACTAATTACAATAGAGGGAAGATTTGCTTCACTGAACGCTTTTGGTTGTCATTATTACCACTATTATTGCCAAAGCACTAATGAAAAATAACTAGGAAGCAATTTTTTATGATTTTAGATGTAAAATTATTCTCAACGTTCTTTTTACAAAGATTGAAAATAAAGATTTTATTGAATATAGTGTACTATTTACTTTAGTAATTCACTCAGGCATAGAGCTTCAGTTGAATAAGATATTTAAGTTCTAGAGCTATGCAATATATAACATTAAGACTATAGTCAAAACTAGAATATTATACTATATATTAAATTTTATTAAGATGATTGATCTCATGCGAAATGTTTTTTATAATAATAAAATGAAATGACAGCAAAGATTTTTCATATACAAGAGCATTTGCAAAATATTCTTTTACCCTTTGACCTTAACTGACATACATACACACAGATATACAACAGATGTAACAGACATGCACACAGATATACAATCTCTACCCCACACCATCCACCCATCACACAACTTACTCTCTTTGAAGAGATCTCCATAGAAATAATAGGAGTTGGATCCTGTAATCAAGCAAAACAGCTTCTTTTTAAATAAAATACAGGACTCTACCTTAATATGATTGTGAATCACCTGACATTAATTAAATATACAAGTGGATGCATGACTATAGTATGTAACTTTCATTTCAATAAACCACTCTGTAAGCCCTATTAAATGAAAATACAGTTTAAACTTTCTTTTCTAATAGAATTTCCAGGTATATAGATGAGAAAAGCAGCATATGATCCCATTGCCAGTTTAACTGTTCACCTCTGGAATATAATTTGTATTTCCATTTGTACATCACTGATTCTTTAGGAACTCAAGTATCTTAAATAATAAAAATAAAGCCAGAATTTTTAAATAAAGTACTTGAATTGAATTTAGAAGTAAACTATTTAGGCTTTAGAATAGTTTTTAATTGCTAAAAGCCATATGATTCTTTAATTACTTTCATCCAACCGTGTTCTGTTTAAAACACTTTTCTGTTGGAATTTTCATGGTGAACTACTTTGAAACCAAGATTCTTCGAAGGAGAGGAACAAGTACGTTTTCTGAGACCACAGGGGAGGAAGGACAATATAGTTTTGGGATACTTTATGTTATGTTAGCAATGCTGAGTAAGACTAGAAAATCTTTAAGGAGCATCGATGATAATAATAATAACAACAACAACAACAGTAATTCTGCAAGTGGAGAAAGAGTAGGTAGATGCAATTCACTCTGGGGCTAATTTCCTTTGAAGAACTCTTTTTTAATAGAACATTTGATCTTTCTCCCAAAGTATTTGAAAAAATACCTTGACCTACAAAATACAGTACAGTCAGGCATCATTTACTTATTTATTCAGGCAGCGATGTTTTTATGTAAAGAAGTAATGGTGTCCCTGTCTGTAATTCCAGGGACAGCTGCCCTCCTCACACACACACAGCCAATCAAAGGCTCCACCCTGTGGGGAGGATGGGGAGGCGGCTGGGGAGTGATGGAGTGGAGGAGCTGGGCATTCTGTACTCCACGAACTTCAAAAGGAAGGCTTTTGGGTCCTTCTCGCTGAGCATACCAAAACCAGCCCCAGTTCCAAATCAGCCTGAGGAACAGGGAGCGGCCCTTACCTAAAACAGCCCCCTACCAGCAAGCTTCAGCTCATTAGCCCGTTTCAAAGGCCCAGCCAGCCCTTACCTCGGTTCTTCAGTTGGACCCAGGTCTTTATGACGGTGGTATCTAAAAGCCCGGGACAAAGGTTTCAATCCTGCCATTGGTGCAAGATTGCAAGGATAGATCACCTCGATCCTGGAAACCGAGGTCTGTGACAGGAGGCCCTTAACAGCTTCAGATACCCAGGGGAATTACAGAACGCAAGCACGGAACACAAGAGTTGTGTCAAAGAGCAGTGAAATAATAGAAGAGTACTTCTGAGTATCAAGAAAAGCATTTTTAAAAGTGGTTCATTTCCAGACTTCGAAATGTAAGGGTCCCATAAATCTAAAAATATTCATGAAGAGCCCTAAATCTTTTCCACAGTTGGCCGAGTTCCCTTTTCCTGAAGAAGACTAGCAGTCAGCCATCAAATATAAAGTTTTACTAAAGACAATAATAATAGTAATAATAATAATAAATGTTTAAAAAATATATAAAGGGTTTTTTGCGGGGGGGGGGGGGGGGTAGCCACCAGAGCCCATATGGAACAAATGACAATAGCTTCTACACTTCACTAAGTCAGAGGATACCAGCACTTGGCTTACTCTATTCAATTTTCTCAACTTGAGAAGGCCAGTTCCCCAGCTGTGAGGAAAACTGTCCTTTTCATTGAAGTGTCTGGCTTAACAGCTCCTGATTTGGCTGGAAAGTGAAAGAAGCACTGCCATGGGATAAGAAAGGATTTTTGAAATGGAAGGTTTTGTCTTAGGTGGTTGTTACTCCAAGCAGTTAAGACACACCTCAGAAGACAAACAAAACAAAACAAAAAACGAAAAAGAAGCAATGGTGAATGTTGTTAATTTAAGAGCTCTGGTCCCTAATATGAAACAAAATTTTACTTAAAGGCTCAGATGCAAAATATATAAAAACATAGCCTCTTTAATTGCATGGGAGGACGGATAGCTTAGTTTTTAGTTATAGGAAAGCTAGACTCCAGGATAGTAAAGACAAAATGTATTACCTCTTATAACTGTTGACATATATCTATTACGTATTTATGGTCAGGCCTCAAAATTTGTAGGTTATTAATGTTGATGTTGTGTTTTTTTAATTTGTAGACATACTCAGACCCAAAGCAGCAAAAAACAAAATGGAGTTACAGAATATACACTTTCCCAGATGAGATCTATCAAGGCCACACTCCTTCCTCTATCTGTTCTTGTAGAGTACATGCCAATCCCATGAACAGACTACTTAATGCCATGATTTTTACCTTATTACACCTTTTATAACAAGTTGTGTTGCTTTCTGGTTTAAAATGCCTTCAAGCATGATGGGAAAGTGCTGTTTAAAGTTTATAAACCTTAAAAGTTGTGAGGCATCTTAGTGTAGAAAATGTATTTATTAGATGAATTTCATTCAGGCATGAATTATATTGCTGTTGACTATAAACTCAATATTTCTTACTCAACCACCATATACTTAGAAAAATATCTTTAAGCAAAAACACAAAGTAAACTAAGTTATATATTGATCAGATACAAATGTTATAATCAGAAATGTACAGAACACTCCTCAAAAGCAATAATCAGCATTCATGTGACCATAACTATATATTCTATGTTTATAGAATATATACACATAAACATATGTTAATATACAATCAACTGCATTCTGACTAGCTGCCAATTATTTTCTATTATTTTTCCATTTAAAAGTTTATTTGTATAATTAATACCCTATAATTAAAAGTCATATTTTTCTCCTGCCACAATGCCAACAATCTGAAAAGATATCTTTTGTTAATGCTCATAGCATATTTGCTGAAGATATAACTGACTTCTCAATAGTGCTTCTGTAGTTCACACACAATATGTCATTAATTTTTAACAACAATTTATAAAGTGACACTGTTTTCAATTAAACAAATATTGGTTTCCTTTTGAAAAGTCTGTAAGAATCAAGTACAAACATTTATATTGTAAATCATTCCTCATTTCAATTTTCTCTGAATTCAAAACATATCTCTTTGGAGAAAACAAACCTAGAACTATCATGACATCTTTGCTATTTAATCCTCTGTTTTCAATATCTTTAATTGTCTGTAGATTTGGACTGTATTTTTAAGATTAAGAATACCTTGAATATTTGAAGTTCTTCTAGAATTACTTCTTCCATTGATCCAGTCTCTTGGTTATAAATTGTGATAACTTTAAGCACAATTCCAGTATCTGTAAGGAAATAGAAAAACAAATAACTAGAAAGTATGTCACAATGTCAATTACAAGTAATTAAAAAACATGCAGGGACTAGGAATTAAAATGGAATTTGAAATCTTACAGAAAAAATCATTTTATCACTGCTAATTAAAATTATATGATTTCCTATACAACCATATTTCAACTCAACAAAATAATTTTATATTCCTGACCAGGAGTGAGGTCAAATACTACATGTTTTCTAAACTGCTTGAACAATAAAATCAATCAAATTATAGGTTCAATAATGATCTTTTGAAATGATGAAACATCAGAGATGATATATTATTTCTATCTTCCTTGTTGCTTGATAAAATAAAACCTTCAATGTAAGTTACTATCATGGTAAGAAACTTTCCAAGAAACTCACTGTGGGAATCCTATATACACTGTTTTTTCACTGTTGAAGACTGATTGCTGCAGAAGCTGGTGCATTCTAGGAAAGCTCTTTATCACCTAGCTTCATCTCTAGATCTATAAACACTTTTAACTAGGGAAAAATACAAGCTGATTTCACTGAGGCAAGAATAATATTCCTCCTGTCCCCATAAGACAGCTTCCATAATTATCCCTTATTTTATAATTTTATTTTTTAAATTTCCATCTTATTTTATTATATTTTCTTAGTTTATGCTTTATAATATTAATATTGATGTATTACTTGTACTAATTCTTTATGATAACATCTATACATGACCTACACAAATAACTTGTCAGAATTAATAATAATTTATAGGGGGAAAAAAAACTTTAGATGTGTTCATTCAAGAGTTTGTATGATATTCCAGCAGTTTATTAAAAAAATCAACTCTTGTATCTGGATTAATAAATGTGTATTTTAATTAACTGATAACTATTACTTGGACTTTTACATTACTTGTATATTTGAAAATATAAGTACCTATTAAATAGCTCACAATTATACCAGGTAAAAAGCAAAATGTAAGTGAAATGACTAATTTTCAACTGTTGATTTTGCAATAATCACTATATGTTTTATTAGTTAGCCTTGTCAGAAAAATATGAGGGAAAAAGATAATATTTGCTGTAATTTCCAGTGTAGTTATCAAACATTCCTCAAGATTGTGTTTTTGTACTAAAAACCAGTATCATGATGTCTTTGATTTTATATATATATATATATATATATATGTGAACACAAATATATTTCTGGAATTTCCTAATATATCTTTGGCTAATTTGTCAAGAAAATATTCTTGGGCTATTATTTGTGTTTTCTACTTCTAAGGACATTTATGAACAACATACTTTCATTGACTTTACAAATTTGAGTCATGCTTATGAAACTTTTTTAAAAAATTAAATTCTGTCAAGGACACTGTAAGAGAACTCATAGCCATGTAATTTAAATATTGGTAAAGCAGTGTGATGATTTGGAGATGATGTGTTAGTGTACAACACATTATTAGCAGTAACTTTCTACATTTTGAAAAAATGTCTATATAGGAGATCAGTTTCTGGAAATATTAATATTTACTTATATCTTTAATTTTTAAGAATCCTAGGAGAAGCATTATCACCAGAATTAATGATATATCCTGATTTCTCATATATGCCAATATCATCTCAAGATCATGTTTATGTTTGGAGTGAGCAAAAAATACTTAACCTTATAAAATAATTGCTTTAGCGATAGATAGGCTACACAAGAAGAAAGAAATGATGGTTTTCAACATGTATAAAATGACTATGTTATTTATGTACTAAATTCTCTTCCACAATTTAGAGGGAAAATGTGGTGTTAATCACAATAATAAGTTCATCAGAAAACTTTACTTTTAAAATATTCAGCATATTTTGTTTTGTTAATGGGATAGTATTAAAATACCTGTCACTTGTGCTCTCTAGTACTAATGATGGGATGGCTGACAAGTACTGCTATGATTATAGATTTACATGAAGTTAGTGTCACAATTGGTTTGTTGTGGGGCCTTTTTGAGCAACCAGGACAATAATAAAGCTGACTATTCTCTCTCAGACACCTTACTACCATTATGGTCCATTTAATTTAAGACCAGTACTTTTACTGAGATGTGTGTCAATTATTTCTATTGCTTTTTGAGACAAGGTCTAGTTGTGTGGCTCAGGCTATATGCAAGTTACTATGGAATCTTAGCTGCCTTTAATTTTTTTTTTTTTTTTTTGGGTCCGGTTGTGGGGCCTGAACTCTGGGCCTGGGCGCTGTCCCTCAGCTCTTCAGCTCAAGGCTAGCACTCTACCACTAGAGCCACAGCACCACTTCCGGCTTTTTTCTTTTTGCTAATGTGGTGCTGAGGAATCGAACCCAGGGCCTCATACATGCAAGGCAAGCGCTCTACCACTGAGCCACCTTCCCAGCCCCTGCCCTTTAATTTTTGATTCACCTGTCTCATCAGGATCCAAGTATTGGAATTACAGGTGGGTACCACTATACCAAGAGTAATTATTCATTTCTTTGACTATTTCATTTATTCAAATATATTGCATACTGATGATGGAGCAATATTAAACATATTTTAAATTTATATCATATAACCTAAAAACCTTACCTGTGTCAGTGATTCTCAGATCTGAAACAAGCGTGACCACATAATTTATTGTCCAAACCATGATAACTCTGACAATAAAACTATTAATAGCAATACATTTTCCCAAAAAGTGGGCATAAACTCTTAAGAGTTTCAGTCACTTGAGGACTCTATTTCTAATTTTGGATTAGCAGTGCACAAATGGATAAAGGCAACATATTATGAAAGTTACAATCTTTTATCTGAGTCAAGTGGACCATCTCCATGTTTTCTTTTCTCTTTACCTGTCCCAATAAATAAAACGTCATACTGGCCGTCCTCAGCTTCTACTCGATCCACTGCTATTTGCTTCAAGTTGTATTTTCCATCTGTTTTTACCAGTATTGGTTTTTTGTGGGCAGGTTTTATGGGCTGGTACATAAGTGGATGAGTTCTTGCAAATCGAATAGCATCATCAGGGTAGTCTTTCGTGGTTCCATATCTTCCTCCATTCACTTTGCTGGCACACTGAAAAAGGGTGATTTTTGATCATTCTTTTTGCTTTGACCTTTGAGAGCAAATTTATAATCAATTACAAGAAGAATTAGAAAAATAGAATGTGTTCGATTAATCAACAGTGCATTTAAAAATAGCTTTATGTTCTTCTGGTTAGAGAAATTAGGTCTGTGTCAAAAATTACAAATGGAGGGTAAATTATGTTAAACATAGAACATGAGGAATATAAAGAGTGTAAAGTGATCTGGGAAAAGTGAAATATTTATAATACCTAGTTAGTTGGAAGGTGACAAAAACATGCACTAATACAAATGTTCAAATTGTTTCCCTGTTCTCTAATGTTTTTTTTAATGCTGTAAATTAAAATTTGAAGGTAAAGAACCTATTGATGAGCAAAGTAAAGTCTTTCCATTGAAATCTCTAAAAATTGAAGGTCTCAAGTGCATAGTCAGTTTTCCTTTATGAAGACTAGAATAACTGGTGACTGTTTATTTGCCTGTCTAAAGAGTCTTCATTTTCTAATATAAATACCTATTTAAGTTTTATCAGCACTAAGTATTGAGAGGGGGAAAAATCTATATGTTGTACTTCTAAAATTTGTATAAATTTGTATTATTTTGTATGGCTTAGGCACAATCAACTACAAAAAACCAGAAATAACTGCTACAACATGTCTCAATTATTGAATTACCAATTGCAAAATTAGCTGCTCAATGGCACTTTGAGTTACTTTTTTATAATTCCTTTAACTGTGTTGATTCATGGTGATGAATAAATGATCCTTCATTTCTCCTATTTTTCCCACTGACTACCAGTAATTGCAATGACTATCTTGATTTTAAAAAGTCACATAAAGCACAAATACAGTTTAGTAATCATATTCTGGCAAAGAAGGCACTTATAATAGTTTGTTTTTAAAAAATCAGGCCCTATTTCTTAATTTGGCACGGATTTTTCACTAGAGTCTATTTTCATGATATATAATTGGAAACATTTTGGAATCACTGGAAGCCATTCAGTAACCAATCACTTCCTCCAATCTCCTTTAAGACCTGTGGTTTCAAGAAGCATTTCCAGCAAAGCCACAGGAGTGAGTTTTCTCCATTTAAGTCATATTTTCAATCAGTATGGTGAAATAAAATATATTTTATGCCTTACTGGAAGTAATAATTTGAGGCCAGTGAGAGAAAGTGATTGTAATGATCAAGGCATAACTTGTTAATGGAGGTAAGGTTTGTTTCCACTCTGGGCTTTGGCTGGGAAAAAAAAATCCATTGTGTATCTATACCACATTTTCTTGATCCATTCATCTACTGAGGGGTGTCTGGGTTGGTTCCATATCTTAGCTATGGTAAATAATGTTGCAATAAGCATAGCTGTGCTGGTAGCTTTAGTATGGTCTTGTTTATGATCATTCAGATAAATGCCCAAAAGTGGGATACAGGTGGACCCATTGCAACGATGAGATGTACAAGACATTAAATCAAAAATGAACTTTACAAGTGAGGGTGGGGTGGGGTGAATGTAGTTGTGGAGATGGGAGGGAAAGGATGGTAGGAGAAAATCAAAGGAGGAGGCAACAATGTTTGATAAGAAATGTACTCATTACCTTGCTCGTGTGATTGTAACCCCTCTATACAGTTTTTTCACAATAAAAAACTTATTAAAAAGAGAGAAAGAAAGAAAAGTTTCTACATGACTTGCAAGTAGGATGAGTGAAATGGGGATAATCTCACCAGCCATTGGCACAACTGAGTGGTGACTTACGTAACAAGGTAGTAGTTTGCTTATCATGGCCCACATAGGACATGTAATATTTGTTCCATCTTGTTATTTTAGGTCAGGATGTGCTAAAGCAAATCATTATCATAATCATAATGTTTAGACATGTGCCCAGTTAGAAGCACAAGTATTGGAATAAATAATTAGAGAAAATTTCAATAACAGCAGTTCAGAAGCAAGATCTTACGCTCTGTTTAAGTAACAATTAAGGAGAATGTTTGGCCTAGAAAACTTGAAAACTGATTCAGATAACAGAATAATTAAATCTAGATAGCATGTTTTATTTGCTGTACTGGAGTTTGAGATTGTGACATTTTGCTTGTTAAGCAAGTACTATACTACACTTTGCCAGATATCTAGCCCTTTTGTTGTTGTTGTTGTCAGTAGTGGGGGTTGAACTCTGGGCTTGGGCACTGTCTCTGAGCTCTTTTGCTCAAGACTAGCGTTCTACCACTTGAGCCACAGCACCACTTCCAGTTTTCTAGTGGTTTATTGGAGATAAGAGTCTCATGGACTTTTCTGCCCAGGTTGGCTTTGAACTGTCATCCTCAGATCTCAGCCTCCTGAGTAACTAGGATTACAGGTGTAAGCCACCAGCCCCCGGCTATCTAACCCTTTTTGATTTAGGTATTTCTTTGTATAGTATCTCATATTTTTGTTCAGTTTTGTTCTCTGACTGTATTCTTGACACTTAAACCTCCTGAGAAGGTAGGATTACAAGCATGAATGATCATTCCAGGCTTGTTCTTTCATATAAGGTCTTGTATTGATTGTCCTCCTGATATCCCTATCTCCACTTTCTGAGTAGTGAAGATTAGAGGTATCTGTCCCTATGCACAGTCCTGAGGAACATTTTACTATTGAAAATTTATGATGCTCACTTTATTGGCCAATCTCTGCCCAAATATCTCCTTAAAAGTAAAGTTCATTGGAGATACTGAGTCATATATAAAAGATAACATATAATTTATGGTGATGCTAGAGGATATCCATTATAGATTATATTATTTTTATTAGATAATAAGCACATGAGGATTGATATTTCCTTTCTATCTAGGCATAGTTCACATATCAAATTCTCTAATGCCTTGTTTTGATGCCAGCCCTTGGAGTTGAATTCAGGGCCTACGTACTGTCCCTGAGCTCTTTTGCTCAATATTAGCACTCTTCCACTTGAGTCATAGCTCCATTTTTGGCTTTTTGGTGCAATCCTCATATATCAGCCTCCTGCATAGTTAGGATTAAAGAAGTGAGTTTATTAAATTGCTTGTTTAACTGCAAAGTGTGGCAACCTGCAAAACAGTAACCGAATCATTACCAAAAGAGACTTTAAATACTAAGAATACTTCATTAAATGATTGAACTTACAGATCCAGGCCTTGGATATGGGACTTTTCCTTCATAGAGTGACCAGTGATATTCAGGACCTTCCTTGTGTGCATATGGGCCATTAAAAGCTGCTCGAATGCTGGACATATGGTAGACACATATAGCATGCCCTCTAAATATATTACTGCAAAATTGAAAAGGGAAATTATTATTCTGTACTGAACAAGTTACCCATTTAAACATATCATATACATCAATTAGAATTTAAAAAATCCTAACCTCAGTATTTTAAAAAATCAAAATAAACATTCTTTTATAAAAGTGCTTTACAAAATGTAAACTTCCATATATCATTTCCAACCCTGCAGACAGCTGTAGAGCAGGAATCATGTTCCTGTCTTAGAATGTAGGATCACACATTTTATAACACACCTTGAAGCAATTGGAAATGCTTGGGATCCTGGGGAAAGCAAGATAGTATCACAGCCAAAGTGGTACTAGAGCTTTTCAACATTCTATGTCAAGCAGCTTTTGTGTCAGGTAACAGCTGGGAGCAGCTTATAAATCTTTCTTTCTCAGATTTACATGTGAATTCAACAAAGTTGAAATTATGAAATAAAAGCATGTCTTGTTTTTGATGTGTCTGAAAGTTTCAATATGCTATCATTTAGGAGACTAACTTATAAATGGATCATATCCACTCACAGAAAAACTATCCTATCTCATAACTTGAATTCACCATATAAAGCAGTTAAATGATAAGTAATGTAAAAGCCAGAAGAGTACAAAAAAATGAGATGGTCTATGGATCATGATAACTATAAACTATATTCACTGTTTTTAATTTGCATTATGCTAGAATTAATGAAAATAATTTCTGTGTTACTTTGCTAAAGGAAAGGTCTCTTTACAAGGAGATAGGTGCTCAAAGACCTTTTCAGTGTTCTTTTCAAAGTGAACATTACAAACCACTTGTTTAAAGTTAAACAAATGATGTGATGAAAGGTAAGCAAGCACTGTGTACAGGGTCACATTACAACTGAAGGCCAACCTAGCCACATGTTGATCTGAGTAAAATCATCCTAGCCCTGTCAAAGGTATTGAGGTAAATTATTATTGTTTATTTCTCAATCCAATCATTTTCACTTCATTCTGCCTTGAAATTGTGTATGGAAACCTTCAACCAGTTCTAGAAATAATTTTTGTTCACTTACCAACACACATGATATATTATTTTACCTACACTTTCATGTAAAGAGCTTAATATGAACACAGAGAGGCAGAAAAGAGCTTTATATGAACACAGAAAAGGGACAATAACAACTTATAAGCTTTAAGCAGCATATTTGAAAGACAGAAAGCAGTTCAGAAATGTGTATTCACTATGAATCTTCATAGGGACAAGACAACCAGAATAATAGACTAAGGAATAGGGCGGGGGAGGACGAATATTTATTAGACATGACAATTGACAAGAGTCAAAGAACTGGTATGAGTCAGAGTTGAAGGAGAAATTCATGTCAAAAAGCCTGGTGAATAAATTAAAATGGAATGAAGAGGATTGGCAAAGTCAGTACTGGACTCCATCAAAATATTATCTAGTCACTTACACAGCACTGGAGGACTCAAAGGGAAAGATAAAATTACTTCTAAATAAGAGTGGTTAACACTTAATGAACAGCTTTGAAAATTTTTCTTAGTAAAAATCCATTTGTAGGTGTTGGAGGCATGGCTAAATTGGTACAGTGCCAGCCAGAGAGCAAAAGTGTCAGATACCAGATTATACTCCAGGTATCAGATATACACAAAAAAGAAAGAAGAAAAAGAAGATTCCATTTTACTATCCATATGTGACAAAAAGTCACTTTGTTGTATATCAAACAAGGAAGAGAACAGGATCTTGATCTACTGATCTCAATAGGCACCTGAGTTAAAATAAGCAAAAACAAGAATCTAAATTGAGATTGTGGCTTTGAAAATGAATGCCCAGTTCAATCCTTGGAGAAAGAGAAACAAGAGAATGACCTATAAAGCATAGAAAAGGAGAGCAGCAAGCTGTGCTACAGTATTTCTAACTCAGGTACATCATGAAAGGGGAGAATGCAATCAGATACTATCTTTGTGTTATATAGATTTTCTTTGCTGTACAAATTTCTCACCTGGTAGTGTTAAAGAGTCCAAATATCACTGGGTTCTTATGGTCTCTGGTATGTAGCAAAAAGATATCCTCTAAAAAAAAAAAGAAGAAGAAGAAAAGATGAAAATCCACTTCATTACTCAGTACTTCTAGTCCTCATAGTATGCAATAAAATTCATTCACCTAAAATAATCTAGAACTTGTCATAGATATGACACAGATTCTATATGTAACCAAACACCCATGACTAAGTTATAACATGATGAATCATTTTTGCTGCTATGGGTGGCTTTTGAGCTGGACCACAAGAAAGGAACCAGAGACTTCGTGCTTCTAAAGTAATGAGGATTGTTTTTAGTGTTGCCATATTTCCCCTGCCCAGTGGGAAAAATCACGAACAAGAGAAGCTTGTGCAAGGTCAAGCAGGGATCAGCTTTTCTATATGTGCTTAAAATAGAGGTATAGAGTGGTAAAGAGTAAAGTTTAGTGTTTTTACCTAATTCATCAAAATAGGTATCAATGCCATTTCCTCCTGGTACTGAGCAAACCAGCCTGGCCTTGAGGAATGTGCTCCACTTATTTACCAGTATTCTCTGCCCTCCCATATCATTCTGTGAAAAACAAAACATAAGCAAATGGATACAGCAGTATCTCCTAAAGAAGGTAGTGCTTTTATGAGATAATAATCTGGATTATTATACTGTTGAAAAATAATCTGCCTATCTCAGGATGTGAAAGGATCCATTTCTTCTTCTTCCTTTAGTAAAGAATGTTTGAAAGACACAGAAATATAAACATATACAAAGCATATATATGTATATGTATATGGACATGTTCATTTACACACACACACACACACACACACACACACACACACAAACACACACACACACACACACATTCTGGACATTTGGTCTTTAAAATCTGCCTAAATACCAAAATAAAGTTGCAATAGTACAACTGTGTTTATTATTTTCTCAACATATACTGCTAGTTCAATTGGTTTGAATATTCCTCAACAACCTGCCTAGATATACTGTACAAACTACCTTGTTGTTTTCCAAGACAATCAACCAAATTAATTCTTCAAAAATAATGATATTTTTTAGGCTATGGACTAAAGAGACAAAACCAGTTTTGTTAGATCCATTTAACAAATAGAACTCACATTTTCATGTGCAAATACTAATTATAGACTTTTTTTCTCAGCAAAGTTTGAAAATGAGAAGCATCATAAAACGTAAAGTCTTTTGTAAGATGAGATTTTAACTAGATAGGAAGGTTTAGAGCTGTGAAGAATAGAGATTAGTTTAGTAAATACCAATTGTAGGAAGCCTATATGAAATGTGAAAGTAGAAACCTATTATAAAAGTGATAACAAAGGCCTGGCCTAAGCTGTAAGAAATCTTGAAGGCCCAAAGTGCCAGCCTCACCACACACAGCCTCCCCACTCTGGTGTAGATGGTATGGGCGTTGTTCTCTGCCTCCAGGGCCTTCTCAGTAAAAAAGAAATACAGCTTGTTGTCATCATGGTCTTCATTGTCAGGAATCATATACGAACCTACAAACTTTGGTTCTAGAGAAGTTAAAAACAAAAGGAAGAAATAAATTATGCCAATAAATTATGTATCACTTATAACAATCATCATTTTATATTTGCTTTGAAATTTTTAGGCCAACATTAAACCACATAGAAAATGACCTCCATTTTATCTGTAATTAATAGACAACATGGCCATTAATCAGTAAGTAAATTCAGAAATTAAAGAGCCAAGGAGCGGGGCTGGGAAGGTGGCTCAGTGGTAGAGGCTTGCCTTGCATGCCTGAGGCCCTGGGTTTGATTCTTCAGCACCACATAATTAAAAAAGAAAAAAGCCGGAAGTGGCACTGTGGCTCAAGTGATAGAGCACTAGCCTTGAACTGAAGAGCTGAGGGACAATGCCCAGGCCCAGAATTCAGGCCCCACGACCTGACCCCCCCCCCAAAAAAAAAGAGCCAAGGAGCTAAAAAGAATTTAACTTACAAACTTAAAATGCATTTAATTAAGGCACAGGTTTGGGCCGGATGAAATAATCTCCATAAATTTTCTTTGGTTGTATATAAAATGTAAACACATAAAAGCAAAAAGTATTTATTTGGTTGAGTCATAGTTAAACTATGAGTTAGTATCCTAGAACATTGTTTTGCCTTTAACATGATAAACACAAGTCTCTGTATTTATTGTCTAAGGGGTTTGAATAAATTACCTTTGGTTGATAAGTCATGTAGAGCATTTAAATAATAATGTGCAACTTTTAACAACTGCTCATTTTGAAACTTAATAAAATTGCTGGAAATAATGAAGGCTCTCACAATAGTATATCATTTTAGTTCCTAACTATTGGAGCAAGTTGAAAATTATTACTAGCTGTACATTGGTGACTCATGCCTGTTATCCTAGGTACTCAGGAGGCTGAGTTCTGAGTATCACCTTTCAAAGCCAACCTAGACAGGAAAGTCTGAACAGGAAAGTCCATAAAACATGTATCTTCAGGTAAGCACCACAAAGGATGGAAGTGGAGTTGTGGCTTGAGTGGTACAGTGCTAGCTTTGAGCAAAAATGTTCAAGAATAGAGCCCAGGCTCTGAGTTCAAGCCCCAGGACTGCAACACAAAAAGAATATTCCTTACAAAGAAATTCTGTCAGTGACCGTTTACTGATTTTACTAGAGTTTTGTCTCTAAAGTGCAAGGTGATCCTATTAAAGCAAAGCAAAGATATCAGTTCATTTAAAGGTATAACAGTTGATGACCAGACACAACTTATGGTCTTTGCCTTTTCTGTATAGTTTTGTTCTCTTTATTGAGATCTTGATTTCTTGGCATTGCTTTGAAGACAAATTTGTTATAAATTGTGTTAATCCATTTTGACGTAACACGATGGACATGCATCGTAGTTAACTCATAAATTGCCAAGAAAAAGTCCTTGACATTTGTAAAAATTCTGTCCCATGCATACTGTGATCATTAGCCCAGTATCCCGGAACTTGTTTGAGATTCTTTTTTTTTAATTTTTATTTATTGTTTGTTGTGACAATACTGTACAGAGGGGTTACAATTACATGGGCAAGATAATGAGTACATTTCTTATCAAGCATTGTAGCCTCCTCCTTTGTTTCCCCTTCCCATCCCTTCCCAGCCTCCCCCTTGTTTGCGTTTCTGATCTCCTCATCAGCCCACCTTTCAGCAGGCGCTCGTCGTCGTGCTCCGTGCGGAGGTGGGCCAGCCGGCCCGGGCTGCGGAAGATTGCAGCATCTCGGCCCCAGTAGTCACTGTAGAGTCCAGTGAACAATTCACTCCCTGCATGGAGGCACCGTTTAAAATCGAATCAGTACCTTCATCTACGTGCGAAGATGAAATGTAAACCACATTCTGTTTGAAGACATGTTAGAGCCTGTGATATTAACTGTATCGTGTTCAAGGTATGAATAGGTCAATCACACTGCCGCAGATAGGAGCTCTACTCTGCCCCTCCACAACTGTGCCTTGCTTTACCTCTTTTTAACTCCTCTTTTTTTTGTAGTAGTAGTAGTAGTAGAAATGAACAGCAAATTGCATATCTAAAAGTTAATTGGTGCTCTCCTTACCACAAATTTAATATACATATATGGAGAAAAAAGATTGAGACACTCAATGGTTAGGGATAAGCACCATCGCCTAGGATTCAATCTTCACTATTTGACTATGTGAAGAAGAGGGAAAGTATTAAAAGTGATCTGCGATATTAACCACAAAACTGACCCCTAAACAATTATACAGATACTACAATTCTAGCGTGGATTTTTCTAAATTATTTTGTTTTATTAATTAGAGGTGAGTTACACTTCCCACATAAACTATAATTTTCATCTTGCAAAAATATTGTAAATACAAATTATTTTTCTAGTATGGCCTGGGTTGAATATTTAATGAATAAAGGATAGATTTATTAAAAGTCAGCAGTGCTTTACATTAGATTTAAGTTAGTTTATTTAAATAATATTGATATCTATTATTAATGGAAATGTAATCTTCGTAATACTGCCTATTAGTTGTATGGCATTTATCACTATTTGTTTTAATGCTGTGGAATTTACAAACTAATACTATAGAAAGCCACTAGATGGCAGCAAAGCAATATCAAGTAACGCAACCAGCAGTCCTGTTATTTGCACAAAAGAAAATCTATTTCCAATTTTACCCAATTTCCTTTTTGTATTTGGATAACAGAAAATAGAGTATGAACAACTCAAATAACACAATGACACAATATAAACTACATTACTTAGACTTCAAACAAGTTAGTCAGGTGATAGAAACTATAACTAAGTAAACTGAACCAAATGTGTTTGTGGGAAACATAAGCTTTTTCTCAGAAGGGAAATTTTCTTATCTAGTACCTTATTATCAATGGAAAGAAACAAATTCATATTATAGTAAGCAGTTATTTTTCATGCTAACTTACTTTTTCCTTAAAAAAATTTACCAAAATATTTCATAGTAGTGGAAAATATACTAGAATCCAGCTTTAAAGAGAAGTGACATCCAGCAGTAATTAAATGAGTAGAAATACTCAGTTTCTTTGTACTGATTGATAGTATTTACATGAAACACATACTCTAGTGAAAAACTATAATTTTATAATTATATAGTGTAATTAGAGCAAATTTGTTCTTTGGAATTTTGATGACATATGGATATTTTAAGATGACCTTAGGACTATATCATATTTTCATGGGTACCTAGTCTCATGTGTGTGTGTGTGTTGGTCATGGGGCCTGAACTCAGGGCCTGGGTGCTGTCCCTCAGCTCTTCAGCTCAAGGCTAGCACTCTACTACTTGAGCCACAGCACCACTTCTGGCTTTTTTCTTTTTGCTTATGTGGTGCTGAGGAATCGAACCCAGGGCCTCATTCATGCAAGGCAAGCACTCGACCACTGAACCACCTTCTCAGCCACAGTAGCTAGTTGCTGAGACAGAAAAATAAAATTTAAATGGCTTTGAATTGTTTATTTGCATTTTCTGGCTCCCATGTTTACATTCTGAATTTACTTTGGTGGCAAATCAGTGGCTTTGAGACCATCCATTATACCCTTAAAGGTTACTATATCAGTGGGATCTTGAAGAATGAGGCTTTCTTTTATTTCTTCTATTATTTTATTTTTGAGTAAACCATAAATAACATATTCAGTTAACTTCTTAGAGCTATGTCTGGTTCTGTACAGTTCGCATTGGACAGTGGGCACTTTGCCAGATGTGAGGGAGTAAAAGTCTTAGACAAGAAATTACAACCAGTTGCCAGTGCCTCATGCCTATAATCCTAGCTACTCAGGATACTGAGAATTGAGGATCTCTGTTCAAAACCAGCTGGGGCAGACAAGTCCCTGATATTCTTATCTTCAATAAACTACTCAGAAAAAAAAAAGCTGGAAGGGACACTGTGGCTCAAGTTGTAGAGCAATAATAGCCTAGAACACAGAGAGGCTCAGGAACAGAGCCCAGTCCCTGAGTTTAAGCACCAGAACCAGAAAAAGAAGAAAGAGAGAGAGAGAGAGAGAGAGAGAGAGAGAGAGAGAGAGAGAGAGAGAGAGAAGAAAGAAAGAAAGAAAAAAAGAAAGAAAGAAAGAAAGAAAGAAAGAAAGAAAGAAAGAAAAAGAAAGAAAGAAAGAAAGAAAGAAAGGAAAGGAAAAAAGAAATGACAGATATTCTTTAGGGAAAAGGAAAAGGTTAGGGTATAATTTGTCTAATTTTCTTTACAGTTGGGGTGAATTTGATAAATGAACAAAATGTTCTCTTACTATGTAAGGGTTGTAATTATAAAAATATATAATAGCTTCATTTGAAATTTTTCAGCTTTTTTAATATTTATTTATAAAGCCCTATTTTATTCTAAGAATATGCACTCATAACTCTGTCCTGAACTTAAATATAGTTAATTAAAAGGAAATCTTTCTTTTTAAAATGTTTAAAAAAACTTGAAATGAGCCAGGCGCCAGTGGCTCATGGCTGTAATCCTAACTACTCAGGAGGCTGAAATCTGAGGATAGTGGCTCAAAGCCAGCCTGGGTAGGAAAGTCCATGCGACACTTATCTCCAATTAAATCACAGAAAAATCTGGAAATAGCAATGTGGCCCAAGTTGTAGAGCTCTAGCCTTGAGCACACGGAGCTCTGGGACAGTGATTAGGCCCAGAGTTGAAGCCCTAAGCGTTGGTGGATGGGGGAAAACCTTGAACTAATCACTTATATTTAAATTCTTTCTCAAGATTAATTGTTAGTTCATAGAATTGATAATGAAATATATATTCCCCATTTTTTTTCTGCTTCGGTGCTAGAATGGAATGCAAGGCTCCAGGCACACTAGGTGAATATTCTACTACTGAACTACAATTCCCAGAACTTCAATTTTAAGGCAATTTCTATGGCTGTAAATATTATCATTTCATTTGCACTAGAATGTAATATAGGGCAAAAATGTATAGAGATAAAATAGGATAATGCTGATTTGTTGGAATGAAATTTAGCCTTAAACTTGAAAAGTATTCCTATAAATATCTCAATAACAAGAGTTTCAAAGCAAAATTTCATGGCAAATCAGAGGAGTTTTCCCCAAACATTAATTAGTGCTCTCAGCACAATTTCAGCTGTTCAGGCCTGGACAGGATTAAATTTTGCATCTGAAACTGACAATACAATTTATAATTTATTGGCAAGTAGAAATGTTCAAGAAAAAAGAAAACTGCCTGTAATACAAATAAAAAACAAAACAAAAAAAAAGCTATGAGGGATCCTAAAGATTCATAAAAGAAAAATCAACTAGAAGACATTGTAATATTAAACCAATCAGAACTGATGGGGGGGAAAACAACAACAAGAATGTTTCCTGCCTGGCAAAATTAAATATGACATAAAGAAAATATTTCCTGGATTTTGATTTGACTGGCCATGAAATAGTAATTTATTTTATTATCTTATTTAGCTAGAAAAGACAAGTATCTTTGGGTGCTTTGAAAGACATGGCTAAGTAAATTCATTTTACTAGACATTTCAAGGTTTCAATAAAGTTGATTTATAAAAATGAAGAGCATAATTCAATAAGGTGATTATTTTTGCTCTTTGAGCCATCCTAAATTCTTAACATTTTATTTCTAAATTAAATTATATATTTAATTTTCAAAAAAGTGTGTTAACTTGTCTTTCACTTATCCAATTATCTCTAATATTGATTTAGTTTCTCAATAGTATTTTACTCCTGGGAATCTTTTTTTTTTTTATTGTGAAAATACTGTACAGAGGGGTTACAATTACATGGGCAAGATAATGAATACATTTCTTATCAAGTATTGTTGTCTCCTCCTTTGTTTCCCTTCCCATCCCTTCCCATCTCCCAACCCCTGGCCAAAGTTGTAAAGTTCATTTTTCGACATAACGACTTGTACATCTCATTGTTGCAATGGGTCCACCTGTATCCCTATTTAAACAGTTTGTTTTTTCCCTTCCCCTCCAAAAATTATACCAACATCAAATACTGTGAAAGTAGGGGTTACACCGTGGGGGAGGGACATACAAAGCAACAAATTAATCTTAAATCAACTGATTTCAAGTTCACGGAAGTTAAAATTGTATCTGAAATTAAGAAATAATATAGAAATTCTCAGTTTTGCAAGCACCAATTTTCCTTTATGGTTCTCTGTATAGTTGAATGAATATCATTACCAACCTGAGTATTTTGCCTTAAACGTGTATTCAAACACTCATAGCCTATACCTAACAAAGAAACCAGGAGCCATGGTCTAAGGGTGTGTATCATTTTTCCTGGAGTTTTGTTTGAACTCATCAATTCAGGACATGTGTCATCATAAAAGAACATATAAATACATTCTTTCCCTGTCAGATTAAGCTACACCAAGCTTGCCAAATTCCAACTCAGGTAGCTTCATTTTTTTTTTCCAGCTCACATTCCTACTGCTTTTTCAATTGAATGAATTATTTTTACTTCCCCTCTTTTAAAGAGCTTCTGGCTCATATAGGTTATCAGGTTTCTGTGCCAGAAGCGGCTGCATTTCCAACGTGAGGGAGTGATCTCTCCAAGGTACTTGGGGATGAAAGCGAGTGGATAAAAGTGAAGAATTATATTTTTATTTCTTCTCTTTGGAGGGATTATTCTATAACTTTCGTGTTTGACTTGGAGGGCTCCTTTGATTTGATTTCTCTTCTGAATAAACGAAACAGCCAGCCACCCAGATGGCAGGCCCTTCACAGTTCAGCATAGTGTAATTTGATTTGGAAGTTCAATGGAACTCACTTGGAAATGTCCCTCTGGTAATATTTCCTTCTTTAAAATTTCAGTTTTAAATTCCTGGCTTCATACATAAACAAAATCCAAGGAGACTGGGTGTTGAGTGGCACAGTAGCTCTAGAAATTACATTTCACCTTTTAGCAAAATATCAAAATGATTGATTTTCTCTTCCAATATTTTTAATAGTGTATAAATCCCAGCCTCTAATGACTTTCTCTTCTTTGGAGAAACATTTTAATTTTTCTTTTTTTTTTTTGTCCACTTGGGTGTTTTAGTGATTATTCCATTCATGATATTTATAGAAAGCCTATTTTTTTTCTGTGCAAGAGGCTATGGTAAAAGAAAGGTGAGACGTTTTTCATATATTTTCAAATCTTAAACCTATGAAGTCAAAAATCACTAATGACTGTAGGGAAAGATTTTATGAGTCTACCAAATATGTGCATTTCATATCTTCCTGACATTTTTCAAATTTCAAGTCTATGGACATTGGATTTACCAAAAGTGTCATTCTTTTGAATTTGACTCTTACAAAACAAAACTGGTTTATGCAACTCTCCTATAGGAAACAGGATTCAAGGCCAAGAAAAATTGACTGTCCCAAAATAGTTCACAGAAAAGATTTCAGTAATGTACAATATAATCTTAGCTGATGAATAGAATAACTCAATAGCTATGAACATATGACTATATAAAATGATGTTAAAGGAACTCCAAGAGGTGGACATAAGAGGTTTTACTTTGTCACTGTTGTTTTTAATGTCCTATGTGATTTTTTTTTATTTCTTTTGTATGTTCTTTCCCCTATGGTATATCCCCTGTTGTCACTGTATTTGATTTTGGTACCCTGGGTATTGTATATGTGTTTATCTGAATTAGGGAAGGGAAGGGGAACAAAAAAAATGGTGGGACAAAGGACAAAGTGGGGGACCAATACAACAGCGATATACACAAGACAAATGTTGGAAATAATCTGTACAATTTGGGGGTCGGGGGCCAGGGGAAGGAAAATGGGAGAAAAATGAGGGAAGAGGTAACATATTTAACAAGAAATGTACTCACTAACTTACTTATGTAACTGTAACCCTTATATGTATCACCTTGGCAATAAAATTTAAATTTAAAATTTAAAAATGCAAAAAGAATGCAGAGTAGTACAATACCACCAATATCAACTCCAACTCAGAGAATGTGTTGACAAATTATCAGCACAGTTTTAAATTTTATTACCTTATTGAAATAATGAAGTGTCTACATGTTATTATGTGCTTTCTCATTTTCTACAAAGACAAGCTGGCATTCGTAGCTGTAGATTTTGCAAACGGGTTAATAGTGCCTTGTGCATCTATGGTATACCTGATGAGAAAATCTCAGTACTGAGGAACCAGAATTACTTTATTAACACCTGTGATCTTTTCAGTTATACTTGGGAACTCCTACTTGCTCATACTTCCATAGTCTTAGAGATGTTTGATAAATTACCATTTTCAATCCCAAATAATATAAAAGAGAAAGGATGAAATTCAATACTTTATTGTGTCTTAAGTAAGTGAGGATTTTTAAAATTTAATTTTATTGTAAAGGTGATGAACGGAGAGGGGTTACAATTACATAAGAAAGGTAATGAGTACATTTCTTTTTAATGAGGACCTCATTCAATTAAATTGAATCAAATTGGAATGTATACCAGACAGTCATTTTACTCTATTATTACAATAGCCATGTTTAGTGACAACGTGAGATGTCTGATGTCTGATCAGTGTCTGCATTCTAGATTAGCAAAAAGTTAGATAAACAACCTTGAAGTGTTCACCCAAGATGATGTTTTCCTGAATTCTATGAATAACAAAATGGTATCAATGTAATAAACAGTAAAAGTTGTCATAATTACTTTACATAATTGAACCATAAAGAACCAACAGAGTAAAAATAGTTTAATTTCTCTGGCTGAAGTGTTTTATTAAATAGTCTATAACTGCATTTTATGAACTGCTAATGGTGTCATCCAAAATATTTTACATCATGTCTTATTGGGCAATTTGTTTTATTTTCTTTAGGAGGAGACATACATACTTTGTAGCATCTGTAATTATTTTAAAGCACAAATTAAAATTGCTAAGGCTTGAAATTTAACATCGTTTCTCCCAGTACCAGTAAACAGAAATGACCAGGCAAAGTACACAGAGAAGAGCAAAAAAATATATTGAAGTTGAAAAATAAGTTTCAGAATCCTCATGCCTGCTACCTGATGTCTGAGGGAAGATAATTACCAATTAATGTGGAGACGAAGGAAGAGCTGGGGTCAAAAGGACATCGACCCCTTCCTCTCTCGGATCTGTGTGATTCCAGGTGAAACAGAGGATCCTTGGGGAAAAGGAAGAACAGAAACGCATTGTGAATGTGCCAGCTTCAAGAAGAATTTAATTGTTCAGATAAATCATATTAAACTTTGGTTCTTTCCAAAGCAAACATTCTAACTAGAAAATTAGTAATATCAAGTCATTTAGGTATAACAGCTTTTTATAAATAAACCCTTACTCACCTTCTCTGCTATTTTCAGGAAATATACAGGAGTTCAGAGAAATAGGTGGTGCTTACCACTTGATTGGACAAGGCTAGTTCTTCTGAGATGTGTCACTTAATTATTCCAAAAAAAGTTAAAACTTGATGAAAAGGTATTATTGAGGACATTCATAGATTTAAAAAAAAAGAGAACTGGGTTATATTATAAAAATGCTTTGTTAAGGAGGTGGTGCTGTGGCTCAAGTGGTACAGTGCTTGCCTTGAGCTGGAAGAGCACAGGGACAGCGCCCAAGCCCAGAGTTCAAGCCCTACGACCAACAAAAAAATAATTTAAAAAATGCTTTGTTAAATTTTGAATATTTTTCAAAGAACAATAAAATTTACTACTCTTAATATTTTAGAATGTTTGTTTTTAATCAATTTTATTCTTCATCATGACACTGTACTCATATCCAGCATATACGCACCTATGTCTAATAATGTTTAAATTATTAATGCATGACTATAATATATGCATGTTAACAAGTTCCATATTGTATGTGAGGAAATGAGCACATATGAATGCAACACCTGTTTGTCCCTTTTGTCACTGCTACATCGTGAATTGTTTGAAGAAGTAGTAGATAATGAATGTTAAACATAAGAAAGGCTCATGAAGAGGAGATAGGGAGTAGCTCAATCAAATCAAGATTTTCTGCAGCTGAAAACTCTTTGATACTTAGCTTTTCATTCTGAGTCAGTTTCATTCTCTAGTCATTCACTTGGTTGTTTCAGTGGAAGAAATATAATTAGACACTTTGAATACTAAATTGAAACTGCAAGATGAAAACAAGTGCATGACATCTATTTGAAGAAGATACAAATTGTCAAGTAAGAAATGCAAACAGGGGGCTGGGAAGGTGGCTCAGTGGTAGAGCGCTTGCCTTGCATGCATGAGGCCCTGGGTTCAATTCCATAGACCACATTAGCAAAAAGAAAAAAGCTGGAAATGGTGCTGTGGCTCAAGTGGTAGAGCGCTAGCCTTGAGCTGAAGAGCTGAGGGACAGCACCCAGGCCCAGAGTTCAGGCCCCAAAACCGGACCAAAAAAAAAAGAAACGCAAACAGGAAATACAAACTGAAAGAGCTCTGTGATCAGGAGAATCATGGAATTTGTAGAACTCTAGACCTACATTAGGGAAATGAAGTAGCATGTCTTGTTTTTGTTCTGTGAATTTCAACATGAGTCTGAAATACCAAGTTTCTGATACAGCACATTCTTCTACTTTAAAGAGAAGTTGACTAAGTCCAAGAATATATTCACCAAGAAGTCTGTAAGTGTAATATGTTGAAAATAATGAAGTAAAACCTAGCATTATACCAGGATTTTCAGTCATGTATGAGGCACACATGTATAATATGTAAACTTATTTGTCTCTGAAAAACAGCACTCTGCTATGAAATCTCATATTTGACCTTGAGAAGACCTGATAATTGGATATTATATTAAATACTTGCATATTCTTAGAGATTGATACCTTGGATCAAGACACAAATGTGCTTTGGCTGAACTCTTCTCACCGTTTTATAAAAGACTTCAAATGCCTGTCACATTTATTTCATTAATGGCTCAACCAAGGTCAACCTTTCTCATTTTAAAATAATAAACTAATTTTTGTTTGAATCCTGCTCAACCATTAAAAATCCACACTTTTAATCATAGAAAAAGGTATTTCTATGATTTTGCTGTTAAAAATTAATAACTACTACATTTAAATTTTTTTCAGCTACATTGTTTTCTTGTTTGGTGAAGAAAGGAAATTGGAACATCCCTAATGTAGCTGTGCATCCTTCTTTTCAGGCACAAAGAAAAGAAAAGGTAAAAATCTGTAAAAGATACATTAATCTCATCCTTACATGACAGCGCATGGTTAATAAAAAATACGTCAAGGGGTCAAATAATACAAAAAGGCAGACAATGTCAAACTAGAATGTACATTAGGATATTTCTTTAATTCAAAGATTACAAGGTCTTTGATATTCTGTATAAAAGTTATTAAAAAGCAATAAAAAGCTATTTTGAGTGCATGAAAGTTCTATAATTTTTTATTATTGTGAAAATACCATACAGAGGGGTTACAATTACATGCGCAAGATAGTGAGTACATTTCTTATCAAGCATTGTTGCCTCCTCCTTTGTTTTCCCTTCCCATCTCTTCCCCTCTCCAGCCCCCCACCCCCAGAACCCGCTATAATTCGCTAGTTTTTACATGTTTCTTTTTTGCACTGATACTCTTTGTTTTTGTCCTGAAACTTGGACAACTGCTGTTGAACATCTAAATTACTGTACTAAGTTGTGGCCACAAAGCAGAGCAAGGAACACTTTATTTTTTATTGGTCAGAAGATCTTTCTATAAGTTCCATATGTGAATTAATGGGCTACTTGAATCCATGGCACACCTTTAAAACATACTAATATTTTATCCTTGGTGTTTATTTTTGAGCAACTTAATAAAATGAAGTTATAGGTATAATATGTTGACCAGGTTTTATAGAAACAACTATACTTTTTTTCTAAAGAAGCATTTGGTAGCATTTGGTAGTAAAGCTAATAAGACTCTAACATTTTTTGTTTGAATGCCTATAGATCAAAGTGTGATTATTATAATCATAGGCCACTTCACCTAAGCTATTTTGAGGCAACCTCATTTGTTGATGCAAAGTAACAGCTTCCTCAAACTATTCGGTTTTCTGACAAATGTGTGAATGACCACAACTTAAAGTTATTTAATATTTAATAGTTATTTAATTAAACTTAAACTCTATTTAATAGACAGTTTAGAGTTGTTAAACAAAATATGTCCAATAAAAAGAAATAAGAAATGTACAAAGATATCTGTATACTGTAAAGGCCAAATAAACCTAAGAATTGATTACCTCATTTATGAACACTCTGAAAAATTCCATTCAAAATTCATCCGCTTTTGTTGATAACGAGTTTAACATTTTCATTGAATAAATCATGATGTGAATGACTTCAGAAAGATCAGTATATTTGGAAATAATATGAATAGTCAAGTCATATGTAGGGGTAGTTTTATTGCTTCCGCCAAATTTTTTCACCATGTTTTCTGAAATCCTTATATCATAGTAAATAAATCTCTAAGGCCATACTTTGTAACAGACTTCTAAACTTGTTTGCTCTAATTTGGTCATAGCTACCATAATAGGCAGAATATGAAGGACTCTCAAAGAGTTCTCATAATTTCTAGAACAGGTGAATGCATTAATTATACTGCAAAAATTTTTTTGCAAGGACTACTAAATTAAAGGCTGAGATGTGGAGACATCTTGATTTATCCAGGCCGGTCCAATAAAATCACATAGGTTCTTAAAATAGAAGAGGAGATGTAGGCAGGTACTTTGACTCAATCCCATACTCCTAGCAACTTTTAAGGCAGAGATGCAGGATCACAATTAGAAGGCAGCCTAATCCAAAAGAATTCAAAAGAATACCCTCACAACCAATAAAATGCTTGGGATGGTTGTGTGTCCCTGTCACATCCCAGCCACATGGGAAGCACAAATAGGAGAATCGTGGTCAGGCCAACCAGAGCATAAATGCAAGATACTATTCTAAAAATAAAAAATGCAAAAAGGCCTGAAGGAATGGCTGATGTGGTGGAATGTCTGCCTTACAATGTTAAGACTCTGAATTCAAATTTCCAGAATATCTAATTTTTTTTTAAATGGGAACTTTGATAAGAAAAGCAAAAAACCTATCAGAACAATGCTGTGTGTAAGGAAAGCTAGACTCACTAATGCTAGAAGACGGAAAAAACGGGGCCATGACTACAGGATATCAGTGATTTCTAGAAAACAAGGAACTGAATTCTTCCTTTAGAGTCCCCAAAGGGAATGCATTCCTGTTGCCATCTTCATTTTCATGCACGGAGGCCTACATTCAGACTTTGTGCCTACAGGACTATTAATACACTATTAATACACACTATTAATACACTATTAAAATACACTATTAATATATATACACACACATATACATGCATATATACATATATACATATATATGTATATATGTATATGTTTTAAGCCAGTATATATATATATATATGTTTTATATATATGTTTTATATATATATATATGTTTTATATATATATTATATATAATATATATATGTTTTAAGCTACTTTTCAGTAGCCAGTTATAATAATGAGAGAAAAATAATGAATTTCCTAAAAGGATAGTGTTTCCTGACTAAGTCCATTTCTCCTTTCAAAGGCTGGTTTTAATTCATGAGGCTCTGCTCCAGCATATTCCATATTCCATATTCCAGGAGCAACGTTAATATTATTCTCTACACCTAGGCAAGCTCAGTACAGCAATTCCTTTACTGACTCCTATGGAGACTTCAGGCCACTCACTCAGTCCTTTACACATCTCAGTCTTCACTGCCATCCGTGTCTTCCATTGGCCTGTGCGTATCTTCACTGGCCTGTGAATATCTCCACATCCACGGGCCCTTTCTGCAGTCGAACATGTTTCTTGATCCTCAGTGGCAACATAGTCAGGACCACTTTCCTTCCCCATCGTACCAATTCTGCTCCACAGGCTTCCTCCTCACCATTCAGCCACTACAGTGGCTTGAAATTCTCCCGATGTCCCATACTTCTCACCAGCCCAACTCCACCACATAATTACCCAGAATATTACCTATATTCCCTCACCTCATATAGGCCTCCACACTTAGGGTACCCCATAGCTTTAGGAAAGATTCCTTTCCCTTCACCCCGTTGGTAAGCTGTTACTTTCTTTGTTCATAATTCTTTCCTCAGTGTCTGTCTT